ATTTTCTTCTTTAAAAAGAGACCAACCTTATGTCTGTATTCCAAAGTGTTCATAAATTACAACAATTTAAGTTTGGAAAAATGGGGGGTGACAGTTAAGGGGTTAAGGTAATAAAAAAGTAGCGAGTGACGTATATGCAATATGCAAATATATCGCCATGAACTTTTAAGATCTGCTTATGTGAAAAAAAAACTATTATATCATTTTCATCTTTGGGACATTATTAATGAGTAAAAGGCTCTCTCACACTTCATTGCAGTTGAGCACAGAAGAGATCGCAGAACTGGGTGCAGAGGCGTTTATAATGAAGGTAAATGCTTCTTTTTTCTTTTTTTTTTTACACAAGTGGTTTTATTTGCTGTTGCTGTTTTTAAACATAGTGCTGTGCTGAAAATCCTTTACCTAACTGGTCAAAAATGACCGGCCTTTTATCTCTAATGACAAAAATCTTGATTAAAAAGATCGAATCCAATATTTGGTAATATTACACGGCTCTGTGGAATACTTGATTCTGATTGGTCAATCGCGCCATCCAGCGGTATGTTATTCCCAGATAACAACCGCCAAATTGAATAACACACCGCTCATCCAGGTACTACTAGTTGTCTTGAACGGTACTACTTATATGCTTAACGAGTCACTCCGCTATCGTTGACTGTCTGGCGCCATCTTGTGACTGAAAACACTTAACCACCGCGTGTTATACAATGGAAGACTTCAGCATTAATTTCAACATATATGGTAAAAACAAATCTTAAATCTTTTTTAATAATATTTTTAATATACACGATAATGTACATCCAGCCGGTTGTTATTTCAGAATAAAGAATAAACGGCTGATACAAGTCCTGATCACCCTGTCGGGGTTTATTCTGAGATAACAACCGGCTGGATGTACATTATCCCTTACATAATATAGCATAAGATATTTATTAGCATGTAGGCTGGTCATTTTAGACTGGTGATGTCGCAAGTGTAACAAGGGGAAAAAATCCTCAAAAAAGTACAAAAACTATCAAAAAAAAAAAAAAAAAAAACTTGGAATTATACTTTAAAATCTTTTGGCGGTCTCCTCTCCCTTAGTGGGCGGTGTCAAGTGTCATATTACAAAATGCATTACACACTTTTACAATCAAAACTTTTTATAATCTTGCCAAAAAACATATCATTGGAAAGAAGTAATATTGACAGAGAAATCTAGACATTTTTGACAGAAAAATGCATTAAAAAATGTAATGGAGTTTGGATGGCACCCGGTGGCTGTTTGTGGTATAACGCCCTAAATAAAATCTCACAGGAACCTCAATTTTTTTCATATCAACTTCAAATTTGGAACATAACTTATTTAGACATAAGGCTTTAATTTTATACCAATTTTAGAGTAAAACCTGTTATATAAAATATTTATTATATATAAAATAAAATAAATATAATGCATTTTCTTTACAGTACATTTAAACTGGCATAACTTTTTAATACTTTAATTCTTTTAAAACAGTCCACTTTTGCTATAATCTGCTGATTTTCTTCTTTAAAAAGAGACCAACCTTATGTCTGTATTCCAAAGTGTTCATAAATTACAACAATTTAAGTTTGGAAAAATGGGGGGTGACAGTTAAGGGGTTAAGGTAATAAAAAAGTAGCGAGTGACGTATATGCAATATGCAAATATATCGCCATGAACTTTTAAGATCTGCTTATGTGAAAAAAAAACTATTATATCATTTTCATCTTTGGGACATTATTAATGAGTAAAAGGCTCTCTCACACTTCATTGCAGTTGAGCACAGAAGAGATCGCAGAACTGGGTGCAGAGGCGTTTATAATGAAGGTAAATGCTTCTTTTTTCTTTTTTTTTTTACACAAGTGGTTTTATTTGCTGTTGCTGTTTTTAAACATAGTGCTGTGCTGAAAATCCTTTACCTAACTGGTCAAAAATGACCGGCCTTTTATCTCTAATGACAAAAATCTTGATTAAAAAGATCGAATCCAATATTTGGTAATATTACACGGCTCTGTGGAATACTTGATTCTGATTGGTCAATCGCGCCATCCAGCGGTATGTTATTCCCAGATAACAACCGCCAAATTGAATAACACACCGCTCATCCGGGTACTACGAGTTATCTTGACCGGTACTACTTATATGCTTAACGAGTCACTCCGCTATCGTTGACTGTCTGGCGCCATCTTGTGACTGAAAACACTTAACCACCGCGTGTTATACAATGGAAGACTTCAGCATTAATTTCAACATATATGGTAAAAACAAATCTTTTTAGCCGTGTAATAATATTTTTAATATACACGATAATGTACATCCAGCCGGTTGTTATTTCAGAATAAACCCCTTCAGGCTGATACAAGTCCTGATCACCCTGTCGGGGTTTATTCTGAGATAACAACCGGCTGGATGTACATTATCCCTTACATAATATAGCATAAGATATTTATTAGCATGTAGGCTGGTCATTTTAGACTGGTGATGTCGCAAGTGTAACAAGGGGAAAAAATCCTCAAAAAAGTACAAAAACTATCAAAAAAAAAAAAAACAACAACTTGGAAGTTCATATACCATGTGTGAGCAAAAATCAGTAGATTTTAGTCCAATGCAATAATATTAACTAGCATTTCTGGGAAAGAGAAAATCCTCTCTGGGTCAAAATGACCAGAACACAGCGTGAGGGTTAAATGGTAATCAAAATCAGAGTTTGTGGTTTTTAGTTCATGTCTGTGAGCTTTAAAGCCATCTCAATACTAGTGTATCCCAGGAAGCTGATAAAATAGCTCAGAAAATATATGCATTTTACAGTCTTTCTCATAAGGTTAAATCGACCAAACATATTCAGGACTTGTACACAGTGTCAAATAAAATTGTTCGTCCAATAAATGATAGAATGGGAAAGTCCCTCCACCTAATACTGCCTGTCTATTAATAGCAAATAGCAAGTCATCCCAGACTGTAATGCAATCTTAAGTTATTAAAAAAAGCACAGGCTTTTAATAAGTCCCACCCCGTTTATTTCAGCAAATACATCAGCACAGGTTCTTCAAACCATTTTTAACCTGGCCTCACGCTACCATACTGTCACATGCAGTGTGTTCTCTCTGTTCTCTAAAGTATTATAGGATACGTGAATGGTTAATGATTCTATTGTAAATGACTGAATGGACAGATGAGTAGACCAAACCAATGCATTTATTCTCCTCTCTGTGGAAGTAAAGCAGTTGCTGAGTATCGTCCAGCAGAAGGCCTCTCTGGGTGTAGTGGACTCCACTCTGAAGTTTGCATTGAGTGCTCTGTGGAACTTGACAGATGAGACGCCCACCGCGTGTCGCCATTTCATTCAGTGTCAAGGAATAGAGCTCTACATGGAGCTGCTGGAGGTGAACACACACACACACACACACACACACACATAGCTAAAGGCTGGAATATACTACACTACATTTTTGCCAGATTTGAGATTTCATAGAAAATCGTGTAGCGTATGATGGACACAGACTCTGATTCCATCCATTCAAGGGATATCAAACATGCTTTATATTTTGAGCCCATTTTAGAACACATATTGTCATGCTTAAAAAACTGCCCTTCTATTGTTTACATTTGTCATCTGTCTAGTAGCAGCAAGGCACGTGTTTCTCAGAGCTGTTGAAAAAGAGAGTTGTGACCATAGATATATATAAGTAGATGCCTCATTCGACAGCTCCAAGCATGTAGACGCACGTCCGCCATCTTTAACGGTCAACTTGACGTCATTCACGATAATAATCAATTAATATTTGAAGACGCCACAATCCTGCACAGCCGATGGTTGTCAAAACTGCCGGGATTTAAATTCCCGAAGAAACAAGGTAACCTTTCTTTCACAGGTGAGAATGCGAGAGAGGGGCGGAACCATAGATATGTGAGGATTGTGGCATCTTCGAATATTCATTGATTATTATGGTGAATGACATCAAGTTGACCCTTCCAATATGGCGGACGGCTTACGTATAGTGGCCCATAGAAACAGGCTTTTTTGTTGTGTTCGGAACAAGTTTAAAGTTCGGTAGTGTGTGATCTGCAGTCGTTTAGTGCATTATTCCCAATTTTTCATCTGTAACTTATTTACAAAGTTAGCAAGTGATGTCTGGTGTTTTAAAATCTCTTCCGACTTTAAAAGTTGTGTAGTGTAGTCTAGCCTTTACATGCACAGTTTGGCACATCTGAAGTTTAAACAATAGCAATTTAAACAAACATTCTTGCACTTAAAGGGATAGTTCATCCAAAAATGAAAATTCTACCATCATTTTCTCACCCTCATGTCATTCCAGACCAGTATGACTTTATTTATTCTGTGAAACACTAAAGAAGATATTTTGAATAATGTTAGTAACCAAACCATTTAAGTTACCATTGACTTCCATTGTATGGACTGAGACATTTATTAAAATATCTTCCTTTTGTGTTCCACAGAAGACAAGGTTTGGAATGACATGAGGTCGAGTAATTGGTCACAGAATATTAATTTTTGGGTGAACTATCCCTTTAAGTGGTTGTTAATTACCTGTATCTTCTCATCACTCTCTTCTCTTCTCCTCCACAGTCTTATTATTCCGAGTCCTCCATCCAGCAAAAGCTCCTGGGCCTTTTGGTAAATGTGTTTTATGTGTTATATGTTTGGAAAATTTTTTTTTTTTACCATGTTATATGGTAAAATTGGTGGAAAGTAATAGATTAATTACAAAGTAAACGCCTCACCCACTCTGACATGACCACTTTTGGTCACATACAAGTCTAAATTGACTTAAAATGACTCATCATGCAGTGTTGAGCAAGATGAACAATAGTTAATTGTAACAAATAAAGTATCATGAGTTACTCAGAATATGCTTTTTACAGTTTTATTGTAGTTATTCGTTTTGAAGTCATTTAAAAAATTTGTAGAAATGCATAAATGTATGTGTAAATTGTAATATGGTATGTTAATATTGTAGTATTGGTTGCTTGTTGATAGTGTAAGGTAAGTGGTACAGTGGAGATCAAAATTAGAGAACAACCTACAATTTCCTACATTTCAAAGTCACTGCTTGGGCCTATTTAAAATGATCCTAACAGGAGTAGAAGGGCAGTTTTTAAGCATATTTCATAAATTAATTGTATTATGAAGCACAGTATAAAAAGCTTAAATGAGATATTTGAAAAAGAACTCTGATCAAAATTATAGAACACTTACAGATACCTCCAAGTTATTGGTGTGAATCTGGCACCTGGTGCTAATTTCCTTAATTATATGACAAACCCTATTTAATTGGCAGCATTCCTCTAATTTTCATTGAGATTGCAAGATGGCGGGCCGCTCTAAGGTGACTGAAACCCTGCGACAGCAGGTTGTCCAGATCAAAGGGACAACTCTTTCAGCCACTGCAAGAGAAGCTGGTCATTCCAAATCTGTGATTTCTAGAATATTGCAGCTTTACAATGACACTAATTCATTCAAGTCCCCCAAAAAGGCTGGTCATCCACGTAAGACAAATGCACGAGAGCACAGGATAATGTAGAGACTCTCAATGGGGAATCGGTTCAGCACTGCAGCTGGAATTGAAGAGCACTCTGTAGTGACCAAACCTCTCATCAGCAGAAAGGCTAGACTCTCCTTTGCTGAGGAGCATGTTGTGTGGAGAGAGGAGAACTGGTCCAAAGTTTATTTAATTTAAGTTATTTGGGTCAGATGGGAAACATTATGTTTGGCGTCAAACTGGGGAAAGACTGAAGCCCGAGTGTGTAAAGAAGTCAGTGAAAGCTGGAGGAAGTGTCATGGTTTGAGGGATGTTTTGTACAGCAGGAGTTGGGCCTCTTATACAGATACATAGCAGGGTTAATGCAAATGTTTATCAGAACCTCCTTCAGCAATACAGAACACCAAAATTTGGGGAGAGTAACACTTTACATTCATGTTCTAAACATTTGCATTAGCTAATCAATGAACAATACCTTAACCTTTTAGATTGTCTTAATAGCACTAAGTTATTAAGTTAATGATATTTGTTAAAATACATTTTAACATTTAAAGTTGTATAAATTGAAACATTAATGTGTTATGAACATGATTTAACAAAGAACAATAGTTTATTTATAAATTAGCATTAATCTAGACTAATAAAATAGTCTAATGCATTAACTAATGGTGATGAATTGAGCCTTTTTGAAACCTTTAGAAATTAAACCGTGCCGTACTTTATTTGTGTTACCATTTTTGTTCTGCAAGAAAAATCTGATCATGGCCTTATTTAACAAGTGGAATTGTGTGGATTTTATTATTAAGTTCTAAAAGTGTATGTGCTTTAAATTATGAATAGATTGCTCAACCCTGAAATCAGCGCATCTTGTCCTCTCTCTGTACTCCAGAATAATGTAGCAGAGGTGGAGGAGCTGCGGATGGAGCTGATGAATGAGGATCTGGTGGAGCACATTCTCTCACTCCTGATCAACCCAGTGGTGGAGGTGGACATCAGTTACTTTGCTGGAGGCATCCTGGCTCATCTCGTCTCAGTCAGGGGGCCGGTGTGGAGTCTGGATGCTGAGCTGCACAGCACAGTGCAGGAGAAACTGGTGTGTGTGTGTGTGTGTGTGTGTGTGTGTGTGTGTGTG